TTTAATACCAGTGTTCTGGATATCCAATGCCAGGAATGGAGCATTCCTTGAGGAAGATGCCCCTTATTTCCCTCTCAGCCGTGTAGATTCCCCCTACATTTGCAGCCTTTTCTTCAAGCCCAGCACCATGGCACATTTTCAGACTAACTTTGGAGGAGATAAAAAAGGTGGTGCAGGATAGTGTAATTTAGACATTTCAGGGATGGAAAAGAGAAGCTATAATAAGGAATGCAGCAGATAGACCTTTATGTAACGGGAAACAAAATGGGGAATAATGATTGCTTTGTCTTAAGGCTTCCAACGCCCTCAGGAGCACTTAAATATTAAGTGTGATATAAGACATGATTTGCAGAAAGAGATCAGCCCCTGGGGCCAAGCCAACTCACATTAGTACTTTTCTACTTTTTACTAATCTTTTGAGAGCAAGGGAGACCTCTAAGAGTTTCTTTCCCAGCATGCATTTCTGTAGCTGATGCTTCAAATATGTCAGAGCAAGACAGCAGCAGCTCTAAAATGGCCGTCTTGTGATCTGTCACATCACTTCCTGAGCTGGCTAGTGTCCATATGTTTTCAATCTGGATTTTGACATCTGTGCAAATAAGGAGGAAAAATTAAATGAAAGAAAAGGTATTATGAGTTTTGTGTTGTTTCCCTAGTAGTCTGGCTTTGGTACACATTTCTGAGTAGAAGCTCAGAGAACGAAAGAACAGTCAGTCTGTGCAGTTTTGCTTCATGAAGTATCATTCTAATGCTGATAGCTACATAAACCCCAGGAGATTGTATAATACTTTGCATTTCCATCTTACCTTGCAGCTTGAGGATCTCCTACAGCTTTGCACATGTTTTAAGCCTATGATGTAAACAAGATCTATCCCAGTTGCTTGACTGGGGAAAATTAAGATAGAGAAGCTGACTCGCTTTTGCCTAACACCTTGTTATTTTCAGTTATTGTAGTGAAGAGTGAGTGAACTGCCTACCAGTCTGATTTGGTATTTTACATGCATTTTACACTGATGTAAGTTACTGCACAGGTGAAGAACAAAGGTGAATCAGTCCCAGAGAGCTGGCTAGGTGGGTGCATTAGAAAAATATCATTAGGTGCTTCTCTACATGTGGCAAAGCACCTTTGGTGCCTGCCACTTTAAGGGCTGAGAGTAGGTAGCAGGGCAGCTGGCAGATGTGGGCCCCTGATGAGGTGGTGACATGACTGCAGGAGGTCACTGCAATAGGAGGAGGGGGCTGAGCAGCCTCCATTTTAGCTCAGGCCCTCAGGAGAGCCAGCAATTTGCTGGCTGCAGCCATGGAGAGAACACCGCCTGACTAGAGCTGTGGTTCATAACAATGTTGAGGTAAGGGCAGGAGCTGTGGGGATTGCAGGAGGCTCCTGGTCCTGGGGCATGACTCAAAACTATACCCTGCTGGGGTAGGATGGTCTGGTGGGTCTGACCATGGTGGGGTGGTCCCCAGGAAATGCCAGGCTAGTTGCCAGGCTGGGGCCAGGACCAGGATGGTCAAGATGGCTAGAGTGCCCACCATGAGGGATGCCCAGAGCCAGGGGACCTGGAGTTCTGACTGGCCTGGAGGTGAGCCAGGCCTGTGTGGCCAAAGGTCCCAGAGGAGAGCCACACCCAAGATGGAAAGAGGTCTAGGGAGCTGACAGTCCTGTGTGATAGTAGGGATTGAGTCCACTTGATTAGGAGGAATCTAGTTGGGGTCCAACACTACACTTTGGGGCCCGGTGTGGGGCCGAAGCCATATAGTGGATGCCATCTGCGAGGCATGGGACACGGTGTAGGGATAGCATGGAGCTGTGTATAATGCCCTTGGCATTCGGGCATAAAATGGGCAGCCTCCCGCATTTTATACCAATTATTTATTCAACAAACATGTGGCAGGCCGATGCTAAGACCTGCCCCTGAGCTGGCCCCATGTTACAATTTTAGTCCCTAACAGCTGAGGTTCCGAAGCCAATTGGTGTAATTTGGCATTGGTTCATTGACTTCAGTGCAGACACACTAATTACTGCCAACTAAGGATCTGACTCCTGATTTTTGGATGTGATCAGTACTCCCCACTCCAGCTGAAGTCAATGGATTCACTCTTTTGAGAAAGAAATCTTAGAGACAACTGAGAACAATGTCTTCCCTGGGAATCCTGGGTTGCCCAAAAATGCATATAGTCAAAGTAAGCTTCCCCACTCAGAGTAGGAGCCTGGTGGTTACTGGATTGTGCTGCTATATACTTCTAGATCATTGCTTTTCCTAGCTACTGACAGTAGGGTGCAACCTACAGGAGGCCTTTCATTACTTTAACATATATTGGCCCTACACTGTGATAAGTGTAGGAGCGAGTCCAATGATAGATTTAGATGCAGCTCTGAAAATTGGGTCCTACTTCTCTCCCATTAGAGCACCCCAAAACTGAGTAACCCAAACTTGACTGAAAATGTTGGTGCATATAAACTAGGTTGTCCATCTTGCGTTCAACAGCTAGATACAGTAGCCCCTGCAAGACTAACTTACTAACTCTACTTTATCTATTTACTGGGGCAATAATGGAATGCAATATAGTACTACTTAATGCATCTCTTACAAGGAGATTGCCTTTCCTCCTCAATCTGTCTTTCTTTCTGTTGTTGTCCATGGTCATGATAGTGAAGAGAGTAAGGTAATGCTCACTGAATAAATTCTAATTGCCTTGCTGCACTGGAGGATTGAGGTGGGTTCTGAGAGAGTCAAGTGGAGATTGTTTGTCTTAGTATAATCCTGCTGATTTATGAAAAAATGGTAACATTTCCAGCCTTTCACCTTTGGTGACGCTAGCAGAGCTGACCTGGGATGCTGGCTCAAATGTAGTTAACGAGACAGTTTGTATCATGAAGTTGGAGGAGTCAATACCAATGAATATTTAATTGGTAGAATTTTACACTGCCATCACCAAACTTTAGTTCTAATTACTGCCATTAATAAAGTCCTGCCAACACCTGACTAATGAGGATTAGGCACTAGAGCTGTGTGAAACAGCACTGTTTCATTTTGACTTCCATTTTGCCATTTCAAAGGGACAGTGTTTCATTTTTCTATTTCAAAGCACTTTTCTGTTCCGTTTCATCAAAACTGTTTCACTGTTTTGACACTATTTCGACACGCTTCAATGTTTTGCCCATAGGTTATAATGGGGAATCACAAAAATGCCTATAAATTTGTCATTTATTTCCTGATTCAAATGAAAACAGTAGGTATGGTAGCCCTGGATGAGGCCACAAAGCCTGTCAAGTTTCAAGGAGATAGGTGCAGGGAATTCTGGGAAACTGCACCTCAAGATGCTGACAAGCAAAACTCATGACATGCAGAGTGACGTGAAAACAGCAGGCGTGGTAGCCCCTACTGAGGCCATGAAGCCTGCCAAGTTTCAAGGAGATAGGTGCAGGGGTTTTTGGGAAACTTCACTTTGTCACAGAGTAGGGTCCCTAGAGGTGGCCATGATACCCCTAGGGCCCTGTGACTTTGCCAGCTCCACCCTGCGGGTGCCTTCTCTTCTCACCTGCTGCCATGTCTTGTTGGAAAAGACAACAGATAGGGAGGCTGCCCTCGAGCTTCATCTCAGTCACGGTCCTAATGGACCCCACTTTACCTCAGCCTCCTCTGAAGTACCTTTCGGGGAAGGAGACCTGGCTGTATGGGAAACTTGAGGGGTGTGGAGCACAAACTGAGATTATTTCCCCTCCTTCCCTAGAATTTGCTATGGCACTCAGATCCAGTTCCAGCTCTTCCTCTGGCACTGGAAGGCTGAGGCTGGGAAGTAAAATGGGGGTGGAGGAGACTGTCATGCTGGTGCCGCTTGTTGTCATGGTGGTGGTGGTGGTGAGGTTATACCTGGTGCTATTGGAAGGGATGCAGACTCAAGCAGTGGCACTGCTTCCCTCTCCTTGCTGCTAGTAGAACTAGAAGCCTCATGCCTGCTAGTTGTAGGAAAGAGACTGTGTCTCAGTTTGGGAGCAGGAGGACTTACAGCGCTCCCTCTACCCCTCTCCCACCCCTCCATGAAGGCTTGTCAGCTGCCTTCCCAGCACGCTTCATAGTGTGTTTGGTGTGCTGGAAAATGTGTGTGCTCTTTGGTAACGTAATATGTATTTATGTAATATATGTAGATAATTATATGTATATATTTATGTAATGTATGTATGTATTTATGTAATAAATAAAATATATGAATGTATGTATGTGTTCCTGTATAAATTGTATATTATAATTTGCAATATATGTTGTGCTTCCCTGCACAGTGAATGGAATGCAACTATGAGAAAAAGCACAGATTTATTTTTTTGGAGAAAAGAATCAAAATAGACTAACAAAAACAAAAAGAGAAGTTTGGGGGAGGAATAAATTGAAAGGAATGTATATAATAATAAAGGGTATTAAGAAAGCAAAAGGTACTGGATTCCACTTGCTAGAAACAGGCTAGCAAGTAGCAAGTGATAGCCTTTCTGATGCTGCTGAGCTTCTGGAAGATACAGCTCAGTAAGCTGACCTCTAGGCACAGAGAAAGCTCAGTTCAAACAATGCTTTTTACGCTGTTTTTCTGTTCATCCCCCAGAGCACTGGGATTGGAAGGGACTTCAGGGAAGGATCACAGTCACTGACCAGCTACAGAGTTCATATCAGAGCATTCATTCCCCACTCCTTTTCCTTAGTTTTTGTTTAACTGCAAGCAAGCCTGGCTTCAAAACTCAAAATGTTTTGAAACATTTGAAATGGTTTGATTGCCCTCATTTTATTTTGAAGCTGTTTCAAAGCCTTTCATTTTGTTTCAATTTCGCTGTTTTGAGCTCAAAACACATTGAAACAGCCTTGAAATGAAACACCCTGTGGCAGGGCACTGTTGGTGCCTGCCACTTTAAGGGCTGAGCCAAGCACCCAGAGGTGCTTGATTGCGGCAGCCATTTTAGATCTTTGGCAGTGTATATAAACAGAGCAGTTCGCTGCTGGTAGGGTAGATGGAAACATTGTCTGGCTGCAAGTCTGTATGAAACATTTTGGAGGTAAGGGCAAGAGTGCATGGGGATGGTTTGGATGTTCCTTGTCTTGGGCATGACCTAAAACTGCACCCTGGTGGAAGTGGGTGGCCTGGTGGGACTCCCAGGGGTGCAGGAGCCCCCAGGAAATACCAGGCCAGTTACCACCCCAGTGAAAAGTGGGTCAGGGCACCTTAACCCCTAGCCCCCACATCACTGTGGGTACAAAGGAGCCAGGCATGGCTATAGCCACCTGAGCCCAGGGAGCGTGTAAAACCCATAAGGGGCTAGGCATAGCTATAGCCACCTGAGAACCACTGAGGAGGTTAGTCCTGTAGCCCCAGTAAGGGGGTGGAGATGAGGAGCCCCAGTGAGGGGGCAGCCCCAGTGAAGGGGTGGAGATGAGGAGCTCCAGTGAGGGGGCAGCCCCAGTGAAGGGGTGGAGATGAGGAGCTCCAGTGAGCTGGCAGGTGTGGAGCCCTAGTGAAGGGGTGCCCCAGTGAGGGGGTGGGTGTGGAGCCCCAGTGGGGGGGGGGTGGCCCCAGTGAGGGTGCTGGTGTGGAGCTCCAGTGAGGGGGAAACCAGAGGGCTGGGAGCCGTGTGTGTGTGTGTGTGTGTGTGTGTGTATGGACCCGCCTGGTGAGGGGCATAGGGCAGAATTAGCCCAGGGTTCGGCACAAGGCGGGACCACGCAGAGTACGGGAACTCGCAGGAACTGAAGGGACTGTGTGGCGAGGCCAGCATCTGAGTAGTGAAGCCTGATGGCTCAGGGGGATCGCTCAAGGAGGAGCAGGGTGGTGGAGTGTGGCCCGGTAATGGGCAGTATGCCAGAGGCCCTGGTGAGAGAGGGGTGGAGTGGAGGAGGCCTCCTGTGAGAAGGAAAGTGGTATGAGTGTGTGTGGACTCCAACTTTGGAATTAGTTTGCTCCTGTCTCAGGCCAGGAGTAGTTATATCACCTGGATACCATCTGTAAGGCATGGGCTACAGTGTAGGGAGGTACCGGAGCCGCAGATAGCACCCCCTCGCATCGGGGCAAGAATGGGCAGCCTCTTGCCTTAATAAGAACCAATTAAGAAACAACAAGGCTTGGCAGATGAGGAGGCAGGTGGTTGGCCCAGAACAGGTGGGCGGGCCAATGGCAGACTGGCCCTGAGAATGTAACACGGGGCATACCTGTTGAAATTTTGCACAGCCCTACTAGGCACCATTTTGATTTAATCTAGGCCCTTTGTTTTCTTGATTGTGCAATGCATGTGGCAGGTGCCAGATTGTTAATCTCACTGGTATCCTCCTTCTAGAGAATCACCCTACACTGAATCAGCAGAGGGCCATGGGAACTGCCTTACACGGGACATATTTGGAGAAAATGTTGAAAATGACACCACTTGGTGTTGAAATAAGTGCTTGCCTTTTGTGGAATTAGATTTTTTCATCTCCTCTCAGGTTTTCAGAGGATGGCTGAAGGGTCCTCTTCTGCTGTATGAAGTAATGGCTTTCATTGTGAACAGGAGTACAGAAGAAGTGTTTTGAATACTCATGGTTAGATATAACATATTGTCTTCTTCCATCAAACTCTGAGCTGCCAGGTGCGTCTACTCCAAAAATGAAAGAGGTGAGCAAATATTATGCTTTACATATGCAACATAGGTTACCCCTCTACCAAGCGGTAGTCACAGATGGTTTGCTTCCCTGGGATACACATCCCCATCTCAAAACAGACATTAGTGCCTTATTCTGAAGAAGCAATTCTACACCAGGAATTTACTCCATGAGGTTAAAGCAGATAACAAACTCTCGTACTAGTAACAGCACCCCCAGAAGAAAACAAAGCACAAAGATAACAACGTTACGTTTCCTCAAGGACCAAATAAACTTTGATAAGAAAGACCTATTAACCAATAGTTTTAAGTTACAGTGTAATAAGCTTATAGCAGATTTTTACTTTTAGCAAAAAACATGTGGAAATGTATGACAGAACTGCCTGGCTACAACCACCAAAACACACATCATCTGTAGTAGGGCTGTGCAATGCTTCAGTCGCTGATTTGATTTGGCGGAGATTCGGCCTGATTCAGTGGCCGAATCTCTGAATCCGAATCAAATCAGGAGACCCTTTAATCTCTCTGAATTGAGTTGGAACACTCCAAATCGATTCGGAGACATTTGGAAAGATTCGATGATTCGGACGTACTCAGCTTTGAATGCTTTTTCTACATACCCCAAGGTAGCGGGCGGCTCATGAATGCTAAGATGCTGGGGCAGATGGCACATCCCATGGGAGCATGGGGAGGTCCCCAGCGCACTTGGCAGTGGATTTGGAAGTGGACCAGAAGCACTTCCAGTCCACTTCCATGTCCACCAGGGAGCGCATGGGGGACCCCTCCCCCATCCCCTGGCTCAGCGACTGGTGCCTCCTGGGTTGTACTTCCAGTCCACTTCTGGGTTTGCCACTGAGCATGCAGGCCCCTCCCCCCCACATTCCTGTGGGACCCTCCATTCACCCCACTATTGCAGCCTCCACAAGTCATGCCTGGTACCTTGAGGTATGTAGAAAAAACATTTAAAGCTGTGTCTATGGCCAAATCACTGATTCTCCAAATCAGCATCAAATCTTCAGATTCAGATTTGGCCGAATCGAAATGGGACAGTGATCTGAATCAACAAATAGAATCACTGTCCCCAGTTCGGGCTGAATCCAAATCCGAATCAAATACAGCCTGTTTCACACAACCCTAATCTGTAGTGATCTGCATGGAAGACGCAGGAGACTGTGAAATAAGTCAGACTGTTTGCTCTTGGCTTGAGTACTAGCTGAAGTTTCAGCACTGCAATAAATAGATCTTGATGAAGAGAGAGCTTAGTTTTTAGAAATGTGTAGCTCTCTCTTGTTACTAGCACATGGTCTGTGAAGCATAATCTATATATAACTCATTTAAATGTTATTGTATTTTTTCTGACTTGGGATGACAGCATAATTTGAATTTGATGCTTGAAAGAAACATGAGCTTCTACCACTTCAATTAAAGGACTGAGGCCCCAGCTCTGTAAGTTGTTTTGCATGGCTGGCTCCCCATTGATTTCTGTGGGGTTCCATATAGAACAATTTGCAGATCTAAGACCTTCAGCTGGATGCAGTTGCAGAGTAGCAGTGTGTGAGGAATAGCTGTTGGTACAGTATAAGGATGTGCAGTGCAAGGTATAGCTGCAGAGACTAAAGGCCTTCATCTATATTGTAAACTGGGGTTCTGGGCAGCAGGTGACAGTCAACCCTATCCCCTAGCTTCTATTGTGTTAAAGATCTGTAATATTTAAATGGTGATGGTAATATAACTGTTAAAGATGTTTCTGTGCTTTAATTGGAACACAACCATGTTAAACCAACTAATTTTAAGAAAGAGATAACAAAATTAAAAATCCCTCATGTCATCATAATAATGACCAGGGGTTGTCAACTGGGGGTACACGTATGCCCAGGGGTACTTGGGAAGGCCCTAGGGGGTATGCGTGGGCATGGAGCACCACCACCCCACACTGCCGCCTCCCAGGAGTAGGGTTGGGGCATGGCGAGGGCAGCTGCACCCTTCTGCAGGCCTCACAGGTGGACGCAGGGTTGGTAGGTGGAGCTTGCACGTGGTGGCAGCTG